TGGAACCATAACAAAGTAAGTTCTGTAAAAGGGGGCTAGATGAATTATGTATTCTCTCTGGCCTGGGAACACCTTAGGCATTTTTTTCATTGTATGCCTGGCTTGGCCCACCCCAGCTCCAGTTAGTCTGACCTTATTACCCAGACCTGGTTGTGCCTCAGTGTGGGCAAGAACATAATATTGAACACACGAAAAATCTTATTTTGTTTTATTTGTGACACAACACTAAAGACTACAGCAATATACAAACTTGAAGGAAAATTGCAAAGTCTGTACTGGACCATCCAGCAGTATGACACTGAAGGCAAGAGGGCAGGACAACAGAAGACGGTAAGCTAATGGTAGCTAATGTTAGCTTGTTGTTGTGTATTGATTGATTGTGATTTTATTTAGCAATAATATTGCATGTGCATACACACGTATTACATCTATTATTAATACTTGATGTAGTTAAACTCATGTGGAAAAACCACCCATCACAGTCAATGCAATTGATGCACATAAAGTTATTCTCTTCTATGTGACATAAGCCCCCCAGTCAGTGAACTAATCTAAGAGCAGCAGTAGCTGATGTCTGGCCAGAACCACGGGTCTTGGTGTTCCAAAATTTGGGGTGGAACTGGGCCAAAAGTGCTGAAACACGCTGAACCTGGGTTTGAAGCCAGGCCTGCCTGGGTCTTGCAGTGCAAAAAAGCCTCTTGAAATCACATAGGAGCACCAGGGAAAGTCTCTGAAGAGCGATATATCTGGGTTTCCTTCCTGGACCTGTTGTCTTTAACCCAAACAAGTGACGAAAAATGAATTAATGAAAGAATGAATGGGTTGACTAACAAAAACAAAACCTTGCTGCTGTGTTAAACATAGATTTTTAAAAAATGTAAGAAAAAACAACTTTTTCAAATGCAGCACATGAAGCGATTGTTTTGAGCCACAGAGGAAACCTGGTGTCCTGAAGGACACAACACGGGTCAAAGTAGGAAGTCTAATAAAATACAGGGCTGCGCCTCACATGCTGTTTTAATCGACAAGCCCCTTCCTCTACCACCTACCACACCGCTCCCCTTTACACCCCCACCTTGACACACCTATAGCACAATCACAAGGACACACACACACACACACACACACACACTGCTCGTTAATTAACAGCGCAAATAATTTACAGAACTCGGCTCTTCCAGTTTCTTTCGAAGCTAGTGGTATGGCTTTTTTTATTTATTTATTTTCCAATAGTGGAGGAATCTGTGGCAATCTAAATGGTCTTGTTAATGTAAATAATTTACCTTTACCTCTTATCCTGATGGGATCTTAATTGTGCCTCTCCAGCTCCACTTGCAGCCATTTATCAATGTCCTCCTTGGCTGGAAAAAGATGTGCTGCCTGTCGCTGAAAGAGGAGGGGGAGGGTGGTTGTAGTACTTTAAAACAAAGTGTAAGGATGCAGAGACAATGGGAAACACACACACACACACACACACGCTATGGATTAATGGCAAGTCTTCACCAATTAAATAGGTGGGGCTTTTTTTGTTTGCTTTTTATTTGATGCTGCTGATAATCCATTGTCTCTGGATATTGATCTATATTTCAGTGAAAGATTCAACAGAGAACAATATGAGCTTTACAAGTCTGCCCCAGAACATTTGGAGCAGGATTGGTATAGCCATTAATTCTAGAGCAAGATATTCTTTATTATGTGAGACCGACAAATGCAAGGAAGAGATGGAGCTGGAGGCCAGTCAAAGCATACCAACTATCACTTTCTTTCAGGATGTGTGTAAGGAGGAACGTCTGTGTGGTGGAGGAAGAGATAGGTCAGGACAGCGGGGAGGAGGTGAGGCCGGTATATTTTTCATTCTTAGCACATCAGCCTTGGAGGGCCTCGATGGTGCAGTAAAAAGCCATGTATCTCGGTCATGTGACCCGCAGGGCATAATTGGCTATTCTCTCCAGTTGAAAATGAAAGCTGCGCTCGGCCATTTCTCAACACAAAGGCTAAAACGAGACTGCGAAAACCCACTACTTCCCTTAGCGAGAAATGTCCCTGCACTCCCACAGCCGGTGTGCTTTACCAGAAGCAGCAGCAGCTGACAAGGCAACACTGACTCTTTGTGTGTGTGTGCGTGTGTGTGCACGTGTGTGTGCACAAACAAGGACTATGCTAGTCTCTGCTGATTTATCTATAATTATGTTGCAGTGTAGAGTCACAAGCCAATTATTTGCCCTTTGAAAGTCTCTGAACATACAGTACTCAGAAAGACAAGAACGAGAAAAGAATACGCTTGACTCAGTACACAGATGAGTTGTCACATGAATATATTTAACCTTCATTAAACCACAAATGCACAGTTTCATCCTCCTTTTGATTTTAGAAGAACGAGCGGTTTGTTGCAAAACAAGCCCGTCTTTTGAAGAAGAGTTCGACGGAGTGCTTCTCCCTTCAAACATCTGTGCAGAAAACAAGTTGTAGGGAAATAATGTGTGTGCATTTGCACTTAACTCTGCGTGTGTAAGGTGCAATATGTGTGTGTGCTGGGGCAAAATACATACGTTATGTGTCACATGATAAAGGGTCAGCTGTGGGGCACGGTGATCCACTTACTCTCGTTTCTTCTCTCCATTGATCCCTCTGATTCGTCTGATACACAGCCGTTTCTATATTGACATCTAAACGTACAGACAGATGCTGGAAGGCATCCAGTCTTCCAGTGTCTGAGCTCTTTATTGAGCCGTGCGGGGGCTCTAATGACGAACATAGCTTCCAGTAAGACTTGCGTGCTGTTCTCCTCCACCTACTGTGACCCCTGCTCTCATCTCAGCAGCAGATTTTCAGGCTTTCAGTCTTTTATTGATAATTACCTTACTGCATTTTCTCCTCCTTTTCATTCCTGCTTTGGTCTTCGTTTCCCTGTCTGTCRCTCCGCTCKCCCCCCCCCCCCCCCCKCCCCATCCACACACACACCATTATGTCTTGTGTTTTTCCCCACCCAGCACACCTGCTTGGGGACCCAGCCCTGTGCCTCCCAGCTTGGGCTGCGGAGAGAACAGACAGCCCCTGTGTTCTCTGATAATCATCACATAGCTTGCATGCCTGCTCCTCTTCTGCTTGCCTATGTTCTTTATCCTCCTCGCCCTGCCTGCCAGCTTACCTCAGCCCCCCCCCACCTTAATGCACCCCTCATCCTGCCCCCGTCCACCCCTCTGCATCTGTCCTGCCATACATCAGCTGTCTGACAGGCTCACTCAGCACCCACAATGCTTTCGTTTCATTCCTTTCACCTTTTGTAATCAATTTTATCAGCTGCAGCTGTCAGTTTTAAAACACAAAAAGGCAACAGTTCCTCCTCAGATAGTGCAAACAAACAAAATGATACACATTTAAAGGAGCGGGTACAGATTGTAAGTAAAGCTTATTTGAATAAGTACAACTTGTTTTAAGCAACCTGACAGAAAATGCAATGTGTCACTGCAAAATGTTGCTAAAACCTTACGTTATGTATTAGAACAACCTATTTTCCTCAAAGACCGCCCCCATCACTCACTACTCCCTACCTCTCCCAAAGAAGTGTTCAACTTTTATTTCGAAAAAAATAAAACCTTACGTTATGTATTAGAACAACCTATTTTCCTCAAAGACCGCCCCCATCACTCACTACTCCCCACCTCTCCCAAAGAAGTGTTCAACTTTTATTTCTTTACGAAAAAAATAAAAGAATAAAGTCAATAGTTAAACATGCAATTGGAAAAGAAAAAATAATTGAGTTATACATTTCAATTGTTCCAATTTACTTGCTTTAGTGATTTTTATACACAAACAAATTGACATTCAGCCTCTGAGCAGACAAGGTTATGGCCCCACCCTTGCACTCTCTGGCCGGCCTGATAGCGTGGATCTGCACTACCACCCGCAAAAAAAGGGTAATATAAACACTTATACAAAAATAATAGCAAGTAATTATTTTAAGAACTAAATTAATCTAAATAAAATGTAAAAATAACCAAAAGCTTGACGTTTGTGAGGAATGCATATTGCCAACACCAGCGTTTTAGACGGACATCACCTAATAGAGAAGGGTTAAACCATGATGTCAACCATCTTAAAATCAGGTTGACATCAAATATGAGTRGTAAATGAACATCCAATTACTACATTTTTCTAGTTTCATTGAAATTCATTTAATGGTTTAGAAGATAATGTGATGTGTGAACCAGCAGCAGTATTTATACACAGTGAAGCCTTAATGAACATTAACATAAAAACTTGCGAGGAGTGAAAAGCCTGACAATTTCAGACTGATGGGAGTTGTTATATCACACAGACCAATATGTTTTCACTCAATTTTCTCTCATTTTATAGATGAAAACAGGAACATTTTCCAATCAGGATGATGAGGGAACATTATCCTAGTAGCCAACAGGGCATAAATGTTGCCAGTTCATGACAAGCCAACACAAAAACTCATTGAGACAGACAAACCATGCACACACAAAACCACACCAATTTAGAATCGCTGATTAACACATCATTTGTGTTTTTGGACTGGGAAGGGAAACTGGAGTACCTTAAAAACGTTTGCATGCATAAAAACATCCAGTCTCCGCACAAAACTGACTGGACTGAATGTCAAACCAGAGAATAATTTTAGTTTATTCAAATGTGACATACAGTWTATAATCCTTCAAATACAAAAAGTCTTCATTATATTTAAATAACTTAGCATAGTACGCATGCTTTTACCCATTGTGTCACATAACTCGTATATTTCCTTCTGAATTATGTTCAGCTGAAATGAAAGTAGTGACAAGGGAACTCTTAAGAAAGCAAACTCCCTGGTCTTTTATTGAAACAAAATGGGAGAGATGACAAGGCTGTCTCATCTCCCCCATCTTAATCCTAGGTGCCATCAACTGGGTCATGTGAAAGACCACAGSAGACATCTTGATTTCGCTGAGGGTGATAAGAACTGAGTTTTGAGTTCTGAATAAGCACCGGACAAGACAAAGTTTTACAAAGTTTATTGTGCAGAGGTGAATGAACCAGGAAGTGCTTGGACCGGATTCTCGTCAGATCTAAACACAGGAAATTCAGATTAGTGGCAGAACGATATAGGAGGGTTTTCCAAAGAATTAAAGCCACTAACCTGTTTCCAGTTGAAGGACTCCAGACGGAAACTTTGATGGAAGGGTTTGCATTCCAGCACGGTGACATCACCGTTAGTTTGGTTGGAGTGTTCGTTTCCAAAAAGGCAAGTTCCGATGATCCGTGGTACAGGCATGAGTCGAGATCAAGGTGGTCAGATGGCTGGAGGTACCGATCAGGGGTGAGGCAAAGAGCAGGAGTCCAAGAAGCAAGGCGTGAGTCGTTACCGGTAAAGCAGATGGCAGGTATAATCCGTTAGGGGCTGGGGCGAGAATCGTTGAACCAGGGGACAAGAACAAGGTCGGGATCAAGAGGCAAAACCAAGACATGGATGAAAACGCTGGAAAACCACAGGCAAGCTGATAATAATCTGGCAGTGAACTGGAGAGTGAGACTGGATTATATACTGCAGGAAACAGGTGAGTGAAATGAGCTTGATTAGGGTCTCTATGAAGGGAGGGCCGAGAGCAATGAGCAGGAGCTGGATGTGAGCTGTAAGGCTGGGAACAAGACTATGAGAAGAAACTGGAACTTGAAATAAGATAATAAAACTAAACTGAGGCATGATCTGGGCAGACAGGGACAGAATCATGACAGAACCCCCCCTCAAGGTCCGGCTCCTGACGGACCTCTGAGTGGACCTGGCTGGGCAGGATGATCTCTGTGAAATGTCTTAATTAAGTCCTTATCTAGAATGTGTCGAGCTGGAACCCAAGACCTCTCCTCAGGTCCATATCCTTCCCAGTCCACCAGATATTGGATTTGTCGTCCCCATCGGCGAGATTTTAGCAGACGATTGACAGTGAAGACAGAACCACCATCGATGAGTCYGGCYGGAGGAGGGYGCCTSYAGGAGGGCACAAATCTTGACTGGAGAARAGGTTTGACCRGGGACAAGATATAAATGAAATATATATATGAAATAAGATAATAAAACTAAACTGAGGCATGATCTGGGCAGACAGGGACAGAATCATAARAGAAGGTCTTGCTGTCCTGTTRACAAAAATGAGTCATCTACAGGGAAAGACAAACAGGCTGCATTGCTTTGCTCAACAAACTGTCCTGAACACTAGTGCCATAAAAACTCAAGTCATGTGTATCAATCCAACGTCAGATGCATCAATTACTGTTTTTTTTTTTTTCAAAAACTGACCACTGAGCTACAGCAGCCTGAAACAAATGTACTTCGGTACCTTTAATATATTTAAGTCAAAGTTGATTCTCCCTGAGAAAGCTTCAATGATTTATTCCATTTCCAACCCCTCCTGCATCATAAAACAAAAATAAAACTTAACTAAAGAATCAACAGGCTTTATTTATTCTGTTTATTTAAATGTCCGAATAATCTTAAAATACTATAAAAGAATTGACAGTTCGTAGTTTTACAAGGTTTAAAATTATAGGAGCTCTAGTCTTAATTTTTATGGAACGTGGCTAATATTTCTTTTTTCCTGCAACTGTTGGCAAGAAACCACATGTCTCCTTCTTTCTTGTCATCACTCCCACCTCCTTCATTACATCTTTGCACCTCTAAACCCTGACATATTATTTTTCTGTATTCCTCCCGCTCCACCTACCACACTCCTCCTGATGCAGATGTTCCCATTACTTGGGTTTGAAAACCAAAGAAGCAAGAAAAGGCTGAGACTATTGATTTAATGGTTCCTCATTCACCACCCACACAGCTTATTAGGCCTGCTCTAAATAACCAAAAAATAAATAAAAATAAAAAATTGAGAAGAAGAAAAAGAAGAGAAATGACAGTTACCTCCAAAATGCTATTCACAGATCCAAGTCTGAGTTACTTGGATGGATGCAGGATACCAACTCCTTGTGTCATTATCAGG